TACTTTTTCATATTTGAACTACAGTAACCTAAAATGGAGACACCTAAGGTATAAATAGGTGTACTTTTAAATGTTAAGACACAGAGGAGAGACTTGGAGACAGATGCTGCTCCATCTTAAAATGACAGAGAGGCTGACATGATGACATGTTCAGAAGGGTATGTTAACCTATTAATGATATTTGCAAGCATGTAATTTAATCTTATAAATTCTGCTATAATGGATTTTATATTTATATTTTTATATAATAAATATCCAAAAAGACAAAACTATTGCTTCCAAGACAATCCTTATTTTATAATGTATTCTCAATTATTTATATATGTTAAATAGAGGATCTCTTACTAACTATATAAAATTATGGCTAAGATATCTGTATGGTTAACCCTACTAAGTTCTATGCTTTAAGACATTATAGTGGTAAATAAGGGAATCACCAGCGGTTACAATATGGCACCGGTACAGCCAGTATAGAGAGGACATGGCACCGGTACAGCCAGTATGTGGAAGATATGGCACCGGTACAGCCAGTATGGGAAAGATATAGAAACATACGTGACGGCAGATAAGAACCATTCGGCCCATCTAGTCTTCCCAATTTTCTAACTACTTTCATTAGTCCCTGGCCTTATCTTATAGTTAGGATAGCCTTATGCCTATCCCACGCATGCTTAAACTCCTTTACTGTGTTAACCTCTACCACTTCAGCTGGAAGGCTATTCCATGCATCCACTACCCTCTCAGTAAAGTAATACTTCCGGATTTTTTTTTAAATCTTTGCCCCTCTAATTTAAGACTATGTCCACTTGTTGTGGTAGTTTTTCTTCTTTGAAATATAGTCCCCTCCTTTACTGTGTTGATTCCCTTTATGTATTTAAATGTTTCTATCATATCCCCCCGTCTCGTCTTTCCTCCAAGCTATACATGTTAAGATCCTTTAACCTTTCCTGGTAAGTTTTATCCCGCAATCCATGAACCAGTTTAGTAGCCCTTCTCTGAACTCTCTCTAAGGTATCAATATCCTTCTGGAGATACGGTCTCCAGTACTGCGTACATTACTCCAAGTGAGGTCTCACCAGCAGGGCCGGACTGGGAAGATAATTCGGCCCGGGCATTTTTTAATTACAGCGGCCCACTACAAAGGGGGCGGGGCCAGATAGGGTGTGTTTTGTCATCACCAATGACAAGCACGCCCCATCACAAAGTGAGCATGTTGGTTCAATGCTCTTCCAGAGTAGACCATGCGCAAAGCTCTGCTGAAGAGCTCTGGCATGAGAAAAAGACCCTGTATTTGTTCTGCACAGCGCAAGCAAATTCAATAACATACTTGCACTGTGTTTGCTTGAAATTTGTCTCTGGTGTCTCCATAGGTGGGATACCAGGAGACAAAAATGCTAGGAAAGCATTTGTGCAGTGTGTGTGAGGGTGCTGTGTGTGTGTAAGGGGTGTAGTGTGTGTGCGAGAGGGGTGCAGTGTGTTTGAGGTGTGTAGTATGTGAGTGATGGGTGCTGTGTTTGCGTGAGGGTGCTATGTGGGTAAGGGTGCTGTGTGTGTGTGCTGTGTGTGATTGGGTGCTGTGTTTGCGTGAGGGTGCTATGTGTGTGTGAGGAAGCTGGTGCAGTGTGTGGGTACTGTAAGTGTTAGGGGTGCAGTATGTGTGTGCTGTGCATGTCAGGGGTGCAGTGAGTGTGTGCTGTGCATGTCAGGGGTGCAGTGTGTGTGTGTGTGTGTGTGTGTGTGGGTGCGGTGTGTTGCTGTAGGGGTGTTGGGTGTGCGGTGTGTGTGGTGTGGGGTGGTGTGTGTGTGTGTGGGTTTTGGTGTGTGTGCTGTGTCGGGGTTGCGGTGTGTGTGGGGGTGCTGTGCGTGTCGGGGTTGCGGTGTGTGTGTGTGTGTGTGGGTGGGTTGCGGTGTGTGTGTGCTGTGGTCTCAGGTTGCGGTGTGTGTGTGTGAGGTGGGGGTGCTGTGAGGGTGTCAGGTGCGGTGTGTGTGCTATGGTGTCAGGGGGTTGCGGTGTGTGTGTGTGTGTGTGTGTGTGTGTGTGCTGTATGTGGGTCATCAGGTGCGGTGTGTGTGTGTGTGTGTGCTGTGGGTGTCAGGGGATTGCGGTGTGTGTGTGTGGAGTGTGCTGTGGTGTCAGGGGTTGCGGTGTGTTTGTGTGTGTGTGTGTGTGTGCTGTGAGGTGTCAGCAGTGCGGTGTGTGTGTGTGTGTGTGTGTGTGTGTGAGTGTCAGGGGTGCAGTGTGTGTGTGTGTGTGTCAGGGGTGCAGTGTGTGTGTGTGTGAGTGTGAGTGTCAGGGGTGCAGTGTGTGTGTGTGAGTGTCAGGGGTGCAGTGTGTGTGTGTGTGTGTGTGTGAGTGTCAGGGGTGCAGTGTGTGTGTGTGTGTGTGTGTGTGTGTGTGAGTGTGTGTGAATGAGTGTGCTGTGAGTGTTTTGGGTGTCTGTGAGGCTGATGTTAGTTAGGTGATTATTTTCCCCCTCCCTGCTTACCTTTAGCCTTGGAGGGGGATCCTGCTGCTGGGGCTGCAATCCATCCCTGGTGGTCTTAGTGGTGAGTGAACTCTAGCCTGTGAGGCTAGAGTTCACTCTCGCGAGACCCGGAGCGTTGCCATGGCAACGCTCCGAATCTCGCGAGAGGAACCCGGCGGAGCTGTAAGTTAAAGCTCCGCCGAGGTTCCTCTCCTGGCGGCTGGCTCCCTCCCTCTCTCTCCCCCGGCGGCCGCACTATCCTGCATGTGGGCCGGTGAGGGAGATCTCTGATCTCCCCACCGGCCCGCTGGAGACTACTGCAGGGCCGGCGTTCAGATAGCGCCGGCCCTGCAAAGACCGGCAGGAGAGATCATGTGATCTCCCTGCCGGCCTCGGCCCCATGGCCACCGCGGCCCACCGGGCATTTGCCCGGTGTGCCCGATGGCCAGTCCGGGCCTGCAGCCCCCATACACACATAGCACCCATCACACAAAAACACACTGCGCCACTCACACACAAACACACTGCTCCCAATACACACTGCTCCCAATATACAAATTGCTACCCCATACATACACTGCACCCCTCTCACACATGCACTACCCCTCCATACACACACTGCACCCCTCACACACATACACACTACAACCCCTATCCCGGCAGACCTGGGTAAGTTATCAAACGTTTTTTTAAAAGGTTTGACTACTTACTCTGGGAGAGCGCCACAGCAACTCCAGGCACCAAAACCACTACAGAGAGCTGTAGTGGTTATTGTGCCTGGATTGTTTCTTAAAATAATCTGCCAGTGCCCCTCCCGAGATTAGCTTCTGGATCCGCCACTGATCCTTCTCACCCTGCCACCCTAAGGGTCCAAAACATTGATAATATGGTATACCTTTCCTAGTGGTTTCCCTACAACCACATTTAATCAGTTCAACTGGGCAGCTTCTACTAAAGCATTGTCTTCTAACCATCCTCTATAATTAGTCAATAATTCCTTCCAGATCTGTGGGTCAAGGGTGCCCTCTGATGGCATGCCAGCTTTCTTAATGATGTTTGACTATAGTCAAAGTCGTAAATTCCTCCTGAGTACTATGGGAATTACCCATTCTACATGTAAGGGTTAATTACTCCCTTAACCAAGACAAGACTATACAAACAGTGTTTAGAACATTTAGGACCACTGCAGTGGAATTTTCACAGTCTTTGTCTTCTCAATCTAAACACAGATCAGGAGATCTGCTTTGGAGGATTCTAATTCTAATCATGAAACAAATGACAACGCAAACAATAAAGATAACTTGAAACCCACAAATATATTCTACTGTCTCAAGATTTCTTTCACAGGACATTACAACGTCCACCTGAATGTGATACAACCCTTTTTAAAACAGTTCTTTGGATCTGACATTTTTAAGTCACTTCTTAGCCAGGCAGACTGACAGGGACGTAGATCTGAGAGCGAAATTATATAAGTAGAAAAGTTAAATATTTTTCTCACCTTGTTGCAGCTGATTTCGCGGTCAGAGGAACGCCCGCCAGTACCCTAGTGTCCGAGTATTTTTGACCGTCAGGTGCCGGGTCAAGGCACCAAATTGTCAGTGATCAAAACAGCGATCAGTTCTTATATTCAGGGGAATCCAAATTGTATCAAGCTCTTGGGAAAACAATAAGACCCACACTCGTGATAGTTGTGAATCAAAGAATGCTTCCGCCTTTAATTGGGAGAGCTTAGCTTTATACGTTTTGAAACATATTGAAACATATACTTGGTTGTACGCAAAATAACACAGATGTCCTGTGTTTACAAATTACACATTGATCGTCACTGCATTCATTCATTAAAACCGTAACAGAAAAATAATGTAAAAATAGATACATTTCTCAAGGACACAAGATAATAAATTGCACAAAGAGGGGGCAAGAAATGCTCCGGTGGGGTCCAGTGGTCACAAGAAACAAAACTTAAAGAGATCAATGTTCATTTATAGATAAAGTATATCATGAGTCCAAGTTTAGCCAATTTTAATATAGGCTAGCTTTTTTATGGCACCTACAAGCTTGAGCCAAGTGTGATTACTCAGTGCTCAGCCACTGTGTTCTCAATGTATTTAAATAGCTGTATGCTGTGCTCACTCTTGAGAGCTCCATCTAGTTCATCTAGTCTGAGGCTACTATAAATGTTTCAAGCTGACAGGGCCCAGATATTAATAGATATCTGGGTCTCCCTGTTGTGAGTAGGGATTTAACCATGCTCACCACAGGTTTTACCATTGGGGGATTTCAATTTTCATTTAAAGAGCTGAGTGCAACACTCATTCTGAGCGCTGTATGCAGCTCCTTTGTCATGGTGGGGCCACTAATTCAGCCCTTGCTGGTAAAATGCAGATTGATGTAACATTGAAAGAATTAAGAGGTTAAATTACATTTTAAACACAGACATGTACATTGTTACAAAGACAAATCAAGCACTTCATTGCTCACCTCAGAAATCATCAGCACCTTAGTGACAAAGTCCAAGGAAGCATGTAATTAACCCTCATGCTGCTGATGGTTCTTAACTATTTTCCTTCTGGCTACTAGCACTGTCAATGGGCACATAGTTCCTAAAATTATCATTCACTTACAAATAACTGACTAAATTCTGACCACATTTGGCTTTAGTAAATATGAGAATTGCCAATGCAGTCGGAATTCGAACCAGGCAGAACACATAAAGCCATGGCAGATAACATCGCAACTCTGTGCAGGGAGTCTACCATAATCCGACTGGAGGTGTATGAATATGGCAGAGGGATCTAGTGTTCTGTGAACGTAGAGGCCAGATTTTAAGGTATTTTTACATATACTTCATTTTTTTTTTTTTTAACAAAAATGTATTTTCATTACATGCTGCAAGGATTCCAATAATAATAATAATAATAAAAATTCCGGTGACAGTTGTCATTTTATCACACAACAGCTTCAAACTATGCTAATACTGGTGGGTCCTACACTAATCTTTACATGGGAGACAGACTTCTTAACTGCAGAATTAACTGCTTAATCAGGTATTCCTCAAATGTATGCTTTTCTTTTGTTACTTAAACTCTTTTCAAGGTTTAAACCTGATGTTGATCCCCTGGCACCCATCAGCTCTATCTGGCCACTGTTTACTCCTGTTTAACAAAGCAATGGAAATATGATTTTTATATGAACACTTTATGTGGGATGTGTACGGTTTGTATAATTGTGATATTTGGAGGTGGTCCTTACAATTGATTCTTTCACTAATGAATAAAAAAAAAATACAATACAGTATACTACAATATACCCTTTTTTGGTATACATTACATACTTCTACCAGAAGTCTATTATTACTGTCTCAAACTTTTACATTACATATGTTTCTTATTACTCTGTCAAACCACTACTTAGCTTTCCTTAGTTTTGTTGGTCAATATTGCAAACACCTATAAAGAGACACTATTGGCATCAGCACTGTAACTATTTCATCTCCTAACAGCAATGGGCAGTTGTGATAAGATTAAAGAAGTGAGCCAACAGTTTCAGCCAATCACAACCGCTCATTGCCGCTCGGTCTAATGCTTTGTATAGGGGATGGGCTCCTGGGGACTCTTGTTTGGCATTAAACTATAAAAAATCGTTTAACATTAAACAGCAAGATGGGACGTGGGAAGCTCAAACACTATAACCACTTCAATGAGATGGAGCAGATACAGTGCCTACAGTGTCCATTTCAATTCTTACATCTACATAACAAATTTATGATGCAATCCATGCCAGATAATCAAAGCTGGAAGTGCACTCAGCTCCTCACTAGGGAATCCAAAAGGACCAAGCGGATAAATTTGTAGAAAATGATCAAGGCACTCCAATAGTTTCCAATTCTTAAGGCAATTTATTTGGATCAGGAACTACAAAGCAACGTTTCAGCCCCAACAGGGCTTTTTTCAAGCTCTGTTGGGGCTGAAACGTTGCTTTGTAGTTCCTGGTCCAAATAAATTGCCTTAAGAATTGGAAACTATTGGAGTGCCTTGATCATTTTCTACAAAGCAATCCATGCCAGAGACCCTAAAAAATTTGCAAAAAATGCTCAAATGCCTCCACAACTGTGCTTATAAGAATGGATCAGTTGTTCTCCTGGCACTATAGCTTCCTATATTGCCCCCTCCATTGTCCCCTCCCATGGTGCAAAAAAAAAACTTCTGTCACTTACTTGAGTCCAGCACTGATGTCCCATGGCACTGTTTTGAGCTCTGCCTCCGCTCCTCTGATGTGGCGGGAGAGACCTAATGCGCATGGCCACAGTCGCATTTGGGGTTTTCCCATAGGAAAGCATGTATAATGCATTCCTATGGGGTTTCACATGGCGCTGGATATACTCATGCATAGCGTGAGGACGTCCAGTATCAGTAAGGTGATCAAAAGTCACCTAACGACCCAGAAGTCACTCTAGTGGTTGTCTGGTAGAAGTGGAGTTAACCTTCAGAGGTAATTATTCCAGTTTATTACAAACTGTAATAATTACCTTTGCAGGCTGAAGGCACCTGGGACTATTTACCCAGACCACTTCAATGAGCTGAAGTGGTGTGTGTGCCTATAGTGTCCCTTTAACAAAGTGTACATTTTTATTTTATTCTTTTCTCTGTAGCAATTGACCAGTGAAATAACCTCAACCTTAAACTCAACTTTCAATATGTATCTGAATATCCTTAGCCTTTTATTTTCACTTGTTTTGACATAATGACTTTCCGAGTGAAAGGGTTTAATTTAAATTATTGGAAATTATTTTAACACAAGCCATTAAATTAATTGAGATTCCTTTACAGTATATCTGCACCTCCTTTTGGTAAACCTTGTAATCTTCTACATTTTCCAAGTTGTAATGCACATACAGCCTATATTACGAACTCAACACAT